ACCAAGCTGTTTTGACCACTGTAGCCATGTAACAAATTTTGAAGTTGGGGAGTGAGAGTTTTCCAACCTTATTCTTCTTCTTAAGCAGTGCTTTGCTTATCCTGGGTCTCTTTCCTTTCCATATAAATTTTGTAATTGTTTTTTTCCATCTCTTTGAAGAATTTCAGTGGAATCTAGATTGGGATTACATTATATGTATAAATTGCTTTGGGAAGTATCGACATTTTCACAATGTTAAGTCTTCCTAATCCAGGATGATGGTACATTCTTCCATTTTTGTAGGTTTCTTATAGTAGTATTTTATAGTTTTCTTTGTATAAGATCTTTGTTTCTTTGGTTACATTTATTCCTAGATATTTCATTCTTTGGGTGACTATTGTAAACAGTATTACTTTCATAATGTCCTTTTCAGTGCTGTTGTTTTTAGAATAGAGGAATCCAACTGATTTTTGTATGTTGATCTTATATCCTGCCACTTTGCTGAATCTTCCAATGAGGTCTAGTAGTTTTGTTTACTGAGTCTTTGGTGTTTTCTACAAACAGGATCATATCATCTGCAAATAGGGAGAGTTTTACTTCCTCTTTGCCAATCTGGATGCCTTTAATTTCCCTGTCTTGCCATATAGCTCTTGCTATGAATCCAGCACAATATTGAATAGGAGTGGTGACAAAGGGCATCCTTGTCTGGTTCCTGTTCGCAGAGGGAAGGCTTTCAGTTTCTCTCCATTGGGAGTAATGTAGGCTGTTGGTTTTGTATATATGCTCTTAATTATGTTGAGGAATTTCCATTCAATTCTTACTCTGTTGAGGGTTTGTATCAGGAATGGATGTTGGATTTTGTCAAGTGCCTTTTCTGCATCAATCGATATGATCATGTGGTTCTATGGTGGTGATTGGATCTATTTTTGAAGGCACTCTCATGAGACTAAGACAGATGAATTACTGAGAACTCGTGTGCAGTCATCAGTGATCACAGAGGCATGTTTAAACATGTCTTATTTGGAACAGACACAGACATATATGAAGTGGAATGCCAGTATCAATACTTTTTGCCTTACCCTCACACTTAGTAAACTTAAAGAAATGCCAGAAAAATTTACAAATACAAATTTTAAAAAACAGATTTTAAAAGAGAACATTCAGAAACACAAATAGGACCCTGGTATGACGCTGTACAATAAGCACTGGGCTGCTAACCAAGATGTCGGTCATTCAAACCAGCTGCTCTTGGAAACCCTATGCAGTGTTGCTGTGAGTCAGAACTGACTTGACAGCATACAACAACAACACACAATAAAATTTCAATTAAAAATGCAATCGAATTTATCAATTAAATATTTACAGATAGAACCAACAAAAATTTTTATAATGTAGTCCAGAGATTCAAGAAATAAAAAATTAAAAGGGGAGGATGAAATATACAGTGAGAAGATCTAAAATGTTTAATCACAGTTCCAGAAGGCAATGACAAAAAAATGGAAGGAAGGAAAATTCAAAGTGATCATTTCCTAAGCGTCAGATAAAAAAGAATAAGATATAAAAATCACAACAAATTTAAAATAAAATTTAAAAATTCATATCTAAGTTCCTCATAGTGAAATGAAACGTAATACATTAAAGAAAAAATAAGATATGAAGAGCAGCCAGAGAGAAGACAGATGATCTAAAAAGGAAACACATTCAGACTGCAGTGAGAATACTCAGAGGAGACTAACTGGCAGGAGGTGAGTGACAACAGCTTTGTGGAAAGGGAAACACTGGAGCATCCCAGCAGCAATGACACGAGGAAGCCTGATACAGCTGACTGCCTATATTTCAAACACGGCCACAAGAATATCTTATCTCCCATCCTACATAATCTTCATTCTACGCAATTTTGCTATTCTCCCCATCTAGAGTCAGGGGTCTATATCCTCTCCTTTTAAAATTGGGTGGGTTTTTGTGACCGCTTCAGTCCACAGTAAGGCACTAAACAGTAATGCTACTTGACTTCTGAGACCAGGTCATTAAAAGGCAGCGTTGCATCTGCTGTAGTTGTGTAGTTGTTGGACAGTTCACTCTCTGTAGAACTATTTAACTGTCTTGTGGACACCATGCTGTAAGGAAGTCCAAACTAGCCCATATACAGAGATCACATGGAAAGGCCACGAGACAACCCAGTGAAAGGGGAAAAGAAGGAAGAGGAGAGCTGACTAAAAGTACTTCAGATGCTCATTGTCCCAGCTCTGGCCACCATCTGACTAGAATACCATGAGAGACCCTAAGACCGACCCACCCATCCAAATGCTTGCCGAATTCCTGGTCTACAAGAACTGTGAGAAATAACAGAATAATTGATGGTGTTTAAAGTCACAAGGTTTGGGGGAGATTTGTTACACAGCAATAGATATGTGGAACACCTACACTGCCAACTGGCAGCTCTCCAGGCAAGTGAGAATGCCATGAATCACTTTCACAGGATGAAGTCATGCAAGAATTTTTAGCATCCAACACATTCAACAGACTTAATATTGTACTTACATGAAATACAAGAATCTTTCTTAATTGCAGATCCTAACATAACTTAGAGCTAAAAATAATCATTTGAGTTTTTGGTATTCCTTAGGCTATTATGCCTCCTGGAACTACTGCAGAGACATATATATATATATATATATATATATTTACAGTGAAAAATTAGAAGTGTTACATTACATATGCTTTATAATCAATATATGCCAGCCAAGCAAATTAAGCATGAAATTTTAGAAAAGTACTCACCCCCTTCCCTCCTCCTGATTTTTGGTCAAATGGTACCATGGTGATTTGTTTGGAATCTCGTTGGTATGTACAATAGTGCTTCACCCAAGAAGTTCCAAAGTGACCTGCAAGGTAATATTTCCATAACATATCTATACAATATCCACTGTCTGCTGCACATCATTAACTAGAGAAACACACAGCCCAGAACCCCAGCACTCACCTACCTTTGAACTGCTTCTTGGCACAATACATTCTCCACACCAGCTAGATTAACATAGACAGCAATATGATCCCACAGGCTGGAAATGGAACCGACCCAGCACTTTCCCCCAGGGACCAGAAGACTTTTTCCCACTAGTGTTACATCCAGTGAGTCTTAAAATATAAGGGAAGTAGAAGTTCCCTGGGGATGTTAATTCATATTCCCAGCATCAATCTCCATTTCAAGTTTCCTCTCTCTTCCCTGACAGAAGATGATTGAGTAGAAAACGCAGAAAGGCTCCTCAAAGTACTGTCCCCCAGTCGCTTCTGGGGCGATGACTTCATGCTTCCCACACAGCTGCTCTCTGCAACTCTGCTTACAGACATGCCAGGATTCTGACCTACTTCCAAGCCCCTAATTTATACTTTAGCACAACTTAAGATCTGAAAAACAGATGAGGAAGACTCAGAGACACAGAGATGCAGAATGGAAGTGACTGTATAGGACCAAATGCAATCTAAGGAGCCACTCTGACCTTAAGACTATTTCTTAGGGAAGTGTCACATAGTCAAGTTTTGTGGTTTTTTTCAGAGTCTTATTTTACCAGGTGCTTGTTCAATTACTTTATTTTGAACAAAATGCCAATAAAGGAAGAAAGCAAATCAGTCTGCAAGGGCCTCAATAAATACTCAAGGAATTCCAGGTTCCTAAGGGAATTCCTGGTGTCTTGGTGTGCCATTGTAGGATTATCACTGGATTGCTAACTGCAAGGTTGACAGTTCAGACCCACCAAGCACGCCTCAGAAACCCTATCAGGGTCGCTATGAGGAGTCCTGGTGTGCACTGTAGGATAAACACTGAACTGCAAGTCAGTTTGAACCACAAGGTCGGTGGCTGAAATTCAAGGTCGCTGCTTTTTGGAAGCCGTATACAGGGTCACTATGAGTAAGAAACAACTCAACAGAACATATCACTTAGGGGTCAACAAGACCCTCGGGACATCATCTTTCTGTTTGGAAAGTGAGCTACAAAATTAACTCTCAATTCATCCAGACGCATATTCACAGTGCAATATGTAGCAGTAAACAATTAATACATTCAGTTGAAAACCAAAAATTTGGAGATTCAAGTCTACCCAGGGTTTCTTCATAAAAAACGCCTGGTGAATGAAGTCACTGAAAATAGTTTTCATAAAGCATAGTCTTGGAACTGACTCGACAGCAAGTGGGTTTTTACTATAGACAGGTGCTGCTGGACTGCTCGTCCACCATCGAACAAAAGGCAGGAGTGCACCCCAGCATTTGGTAGTCAAAAGCACTTACGTTTCTCCTGAACGTAGAGATACCCTTCCATGGTATAAGGACTGATAGTCTTATGTTCAAGGGGATTCTCCTTCATCTTTTCCATCAGTGATTCCACTTCTGACCTGGTACCTTCAAAGCGATTTCTTGTCTAGAATGAAAGGAAATGTATATAAATCAAAGAAATGAAATCTCTGTTGCCATCTCTAACAATTCAGTGCATTAACTTCATAGAAACCTTAGCTCTGAAACCAGGTAAGAGACATTCAGTCGTCTAGGAATTGGCCTTAATGTCCTATGCCAGAATGACTCTTAAACACTGTTGTTGTTAGGAGCTGTTGAGTCAGTTCCGGCTCATCGCAACCTTACTCACAAGAGCATGAAACGCTGCCCAGTTCTGCACCATCCTCCCAACTGTTGTTATGTTTGAGCTCAATGCTGCTGCCACTGTACCAGTCCATCTCGTGGGGGTCTTTCTCTTTTTCTCTGACCTGCCACTTTACCAAGCATGATGTCCTTCTCCATGGACTGGTCCCTCCTGATAACATGTCCAAAGTATGAGAGACAAAGTCTCATCATTCTTGCTTCTAAGGAGCTCTCTGGATGTAGTTCTTCCAGCACTGATCTGTTTGTTCTTCTGGCTCTCAAACTTATATGGCCCTCAAAATCATCTGGGAAACTTGTAAAAATGAAAATACCCAGGCCTTGCACCTAGAGATTAATTGACTTTCTCTGGACCCAAACTCCTGAACTTTAAACAAGCATCCCAGGTGACTGGGGATCCTGAGGGCCCATAGGGCCTGTAGTGGATGCTGTGGTCCACTGCCTAGAGCTGCCTTCAGGACTGAGTAATAATTCTCTCCAGCTGCAGGGAATGGTACTTGCTCACAGATGAGTCCCTCCCTAGGGAGCTGCTCCTTACTCCAAGGCTGTCTGCAGCCAACCACTAGCGGAAGTTAAAGGCAAATGGAGGAGGGGCCAAAGCCTAGCTCCCTGGCTTTAAATCAGGATAATTTTAAAGGCTCATCCCAACTCCAGAGCTCGCCAAGGGAAAGACTGAGGATTCTGTGGCAATTGCATCCCAGTTTGGTTTCCATGACTTCCTGTTCCCTAAGACAACACAGAGAATCGTGGCATTTGGAAGAAGGTTTCACAAATTATAGCTTCAAACTCTGAAATGAAGATTTATGTGAAGAGCTCTGGTGTGGCCCTATAGGATACAGCACTGGACTGCTAACCACAAGGTTAGTGGTTCAAACCCACTAGAAGCTTCTTAGAAAGCCTATAGAGGGTTGCCAAAAATTGGAGCCTACTCCATGGCACTTAGCAACAACAACCAAACCCCAAACCCACTGCCAATTTTATTCCAACTCATAGTGGTCCTATATAGGGTTTCTAAGACTATAAATGTTTATAGGAACAGACAGCCATATCTTTCTCTCATAGAGCCACTGGTGGGTTTGAACTGTCAACCTTGTGGTTAGTTGTGGTTTTTTAAGTGCCGTTGAGTTGGTTTCAACTCATAGTGACCCAATCCAGTGTTTATCCTACACCACCACCAGGGAATAAAGCACCTTCACATAAATCTTCATTTCAGAGTTTCCCTTCTGAGGAAGCTATCATTTGTGAAACCTTTTGTAAACCCCCCACAACTTCCTGTTCCCTAAGACAACATAGAGAACAGTGTTCAAGGAAAAGTTCCAGACTTTTATGAGCCATGCAGTAGACCCCACATGGCTATGCAAGGGGCTTCCAAAAATTCATGGAAAATGGGATTAAATGATAATGGAAAATGTCCAAGAACTTTTGGAAACGTCCTCGGATTTGGGATTATTTTTTTTACACAGGATCATGCCACAATCACACACTGAAAAAGTAAGTTCAAGTCCCAGTAACTGCTAACCAACGAGCCAGGAGTAGGATTCTGTGAACCTTAAGGGGCTGCTGTGAAAAACTTGCAGCAGGAAAATGGGAATAAACCTCACTAACCTGGATATTCTATCACCCTTACTAAGAGGTGACCAAGAGCACATCCTTTGAGCCAGAGGTCAATGCATGTGGCCCACGCCCACCTCCATAGCATATACTCCAAGGACTACTGCAGCCAGGCAGCTAGATACACAGAGGGAGGCTGGGCTGGGGAGGGGTGGCATTTCTACTGCCAAAGGAAATCCTGCTTTGGGGGCTACAGATTTATAACATAATCATCAACAGCACTTCCGAGAACATAAATAGGCTTTGAAATAATGGAGAAGAGGATGATAGTCTGCTCTGGACCCACCAAGCACCCTGGAAATGCCTGCCTCCCAGCTGCCCTTGGAACCCAAGAAAAACCCACCCACTTCACCTGCACTCCAATCAAGACAAGAGTTTCTACGGCAACCAGACTGTATTTTGTTTTGTTTTGTTTTGTTTCTTTCCTTAACAGAAAGGAAGTCTGTCCCTCAGCCCACTCACATTCTGTATACTAATAGTCAACTGCATCTTGAAGTCGCTGAAATCCTTGGCCAGTTCATAACCATGGTGATAGAAAGTGAAGAGTCCTTGCAAGAATGCCAGTAGCTGTAAGAAAGGAAAAATGGCAGAGGTCACAACATAGGTTAAAAAAAAAGAAATTATGTAGCTGTATCTGACTCCTAGCAATGCTTCAAAATTATCATGGCTAACATTTACTGAGTATTTCCTAAGCACAGTACCTGCACCTACCCTATCTCACTGATAACTTGCAACAATGTATAAGATAAATGCTACTGAAAGCCCACGGTTAAGAAGCATTGACGTCTGTGTGCAGAGTTTGTCTTGATCACAAGCTGCGACAAGCTGGCTCAGTGCTACCTGATAGTGAACGACTGGGAAATGGAGAGTACTAAACTCCTACTTTGAGCTACTGTGGACAAGAGCGCCTTGGAAAGCTGCCCTCAGGCCCTCTCTTGCCCGACACCTGGTAATGAAGAAGGATATTTCACAACTGTCATGTTGAAGAAATCAAATGTGAAATTATAAAACCAAAAGATTATTCCATTTCCAAGTAACAAAATGATGAGAAACCTTTTGTGCTTGCATGTGAGTTTATAACAAAATGAACTTGACCTCATGACTTCACTTTTGGAGAGAGCACCAAAGGGCATGCTAGGGAACGAATCGATCAGTTAAAATTAGTTCTAAAGGAAATGCAATTGACTCCAGAGTCTGCTGTTAGATTTTCAGGAAACACAAATTTAAGGGATCAAGAAGTTACCATATTTGGTGGTTTACCCAACAACATTTTGGATGTCTGGGAGATTTGGGACAAACCCAAGCACTGCCAGTTTACATGGGATACGCAAATGAACTTTAATCTGAGAACACCTGCTACTTGTAAACTTTATTTTGATAGAAATTCTTCAGAGCAGCAGCACAAGAAACCTAACTTGGACTGGAAAAACTAGTCTGTGATAGATTTCCTACTGATCCCGGGGTCTACTATGCAATTTAGATCTAATATTATGAAATGCCTTTCAAATATGAGTTTTAAATGGATTGTGTAGTTTTGCTACATACAGAGTATTATTGCAAATGTAATTTATACCTGTCTGGAAAGGTATATTTAATATGGAGAAGCTTAGTATACTGGATTATTTCAACAGCAGAAAAAATGACTTATGATTTTATTTTGTGAATTGTGTCCTGAGATTTCAGAACCAAGTACTGATGTCTAGTTAAACTAAGGCATGTCCGTTTTCAGAACATGAAGTCCTCTGAATGAAAGGACACAAGCCCATCAGGGCTTCTAGCAACACTCATGACTCTCAGCTGGATTCCAAGAAGCGGGGGGTCGGGGGGAGTTGTGAATGACGACAACATTGTCTCCAGATGAGAATTTACACAATCAGGAACTAAAATCATTAATATTGTAAATAAGCAATGATCATCTCTTGACAGTAATCCTACATCAGACTTTATTTTTGTCAGCCCACTGTGCATAACTGGTAAGCTGTGAATGAAATCTTACGCTTCAAAATTCTTTGTCCTTTTTAATTAATGTTTGTAGTCATCTCACCACCAGGCAAAGTTGGGTTTGGTAATTATTAAAGTCAATTTTATAAGGGCATTGGATTGTTTTTCCAAGAGAAAAATAATTGTATAAAGAGAAATAGCCTTTTAATTTTGCTACTTGTACAACTGAATGATTTTGAAAAATAATGGATAGTTTTAAAGATGCTTGAAAGAATCATTCCCACCAGAGAAATTTACTTATACAAAAAGAATTTTACTTGTTAAAAAAAAAGGTAAGTATTACTGTAATTCCCATTTTAATAATGAGGAAGCAGTCTCAGTGAGGTTAGGTTACTTGCTCATGAACACGCAGTAGAATTTGAAACCAGGTCTGTCTGGCATCAACATCCATGCTCTTACCCTAAAAGCCTCAACATACTCGTAAGAAAATCATGCATTTAAGACCATGGCACACCTCATTATCCTCCCAGTGCATTTATAATACTAGGTTATCATGCTGGAAGCTGTGGTTATATCAAAAAACAAGGAAGGTGGGTGTGTCCCAAGTCAAAGACAATACAAAGAAAAACATCCAGATTAGACATAAATCATCCTACTAAAGCAGGTTTCTTTGATTTTCTTAAACTGTTCAAAAGCAAACATTATAAATTTCTTTATTAAAATATTACAGTGCTTTCCCTAAATGGTAACTTAAACCCCTTCTGCCTAAAAGGTAAATCCATTCATTGATTAGTCTTGTCTTTAGTGAAAACATCTGCTCACCACAATGCACATATTTTAAAACTAATAAATGTCCCCACCCTGAGGCCCTGCCAACCTTTAGATTTCGAAGCTACATAATCCCGTTCAGACTCTACACCCAAACCTCTCTCTTGTTATGCTTTCCTGGATCCTTTCCAGACTTTGCACATCTTGCCTCAATTCCAAATCTCAATCTGAAGAAGGTACTGTAATAAAAACCACAACAAAGTGAAGAGGCAGTGTGTGTGTGTCAGCTCGGTCACAGCTCTATCACACTTGGGGAAGCATCCCTGTTATATCTCGATTCCCACTGCCCATTCAGTTTCTTAGGAGTCCACTCTGACCTCGCAGATCTGCCTCTATCACATATCACTAGACACATTTGCTTGAATTTATACTGTTGCAATGCATTGTTATCCCGAGTGATTGTACCTTTTCTTATTAAATATGGTGTTGTTAGATTCTGTCAAGTCAGTTCCCACTCAAAACAATCCTGTGTATAGAAGAACTAAACTGCCTGTTCCTGCACCTTCTTCACAATCGTTGCTATGGCTGTAGACACTGGGTCCATCTATCTTATTGAGGATCTTCCACTTTTTCACTGATCCTATACTTTAGTAAGCATGAAGGACTGGTTCCTTTCTGATAACATGTCCAAAGTATGTGAGGCAAAGTCTCACCTCCTCGCTTCTAAAGACCATTCTGGCTATACTTCTTTCAAGAAGGATTTGTTCTTTCTTCTGACCTCTTTGAGGGACCATAATTCAACTAGACCATAATTCAAATGCTTCAATTCTTGTTCAGTTTTCATTATTCATTTTCCAGCTTTCTCATGCATATTAGAAGACTGAAAATATCATGATGCATCATAGTCCTCCAAATGACATCTTTGTTTATTAATACTGTAAACATCATTTGCAGATTTTGACTTCATGCTTAAGTGACAGGCAGTTCTAACAACAATGGAATACCTCTTCCCACAAGCATACTCTCCTACTTTGCTTGTGACAAGAATAGTAAGTAAACCCAAAGAATGGGCTATCCTACCTGAACCCAAAGGATAGGCCTGTCTTTTGCCTAAGCCAAGTGCCTAGCCCAGTTTTCCAAAGATCTCTGTACTGGGAAGTTAGAGAAAACCCAGATTATAATAATAAGGTAACAACATAATACCTTGACTCACCTTTGTCATTGCCCCCCATTATCTACCCCCCTAGATGCTCACGGGAGGTAGGGGAGCAGGCACTGCTAGATCCTCTGACTATAAACAAACATCTAGTGACATCATATATAAATCCCTAATATAAATCTACAACATAGAGTCATCAAACACTCAAAAACTCTCTTCTTCTAAGATGACCAAAGTCTTGGACTTATTCTACAGGAAATACTTTTTTTGAGAAGAAGCCCCATAACTTTCCCTCTAGATGGCTTCAGTAATACAAGAAAGGGGCTCTTGTGCCAATCTAGCCCCAACATTCACAACAAAACCCTTTCTTTACCCCCACTTACCTCAGCCCTCCCTAGTGCACTTGAACACTGTGTCCCATCACCTTTTCAAGTCACAGAGCCATCACCTAACTCACGAATAATGCAAAAGTGAAACAGTGACCTCTAAGGTCATTCCTCCTGTCAGCTCTGATTTATCATCCCTTGGGATCCTGGTGTGGCGTTGTAACTATTTGAACTGCAAGGTCGGTGGTTCAAATTCACAGGCTGCCCCTCGGAAACCCTATATGGGGTCTCTATGAGTTAGAACCAATTGGACAGCACTTAACAACAACAACAACAAAGTAAACAGGATATCTCTCGATTAGAGTAAATCGATACTGCCACACAGCTCATTAAAACGCCTACCAGACATTGGTAGAAAGTTGCTAATACATTTTGTGGGTTTTGCCAAGCTTTGGAATCATACCCCAATTGTCCACTTCCCTATGAGAATTGAGTCATCAGATATTAACTTTAGCCCACTTCTTCCTTCTTCTTCTTCTCACAGAATCTTTTCTCCACCTCCTTGCATCCCCTTCACATACATCTATGGGTGAAATATGAAAGTCCACTCCTAAGGGGCAGCCCACAGGACTTCAGAGATGGGAGGAAAGTTCAGCTTCAAAGAAAAGCTTGCCTTAGCCCCCCTGGTTATTAGATAAGAGGAGCCATCACTTCCACAGAGGCTCCTCCCTAAACAGTCTTCTGGTCACAGCACAACTAAGGAAAGACCTTCCCACCTCATTTGCCGTCTTCCCTGTCCATGTCTTCTTCAGAGGACAACTACAAGTAAAACCTATTCCTACTTGTGTATTAGAGCTTGAATACAGGGCCACTACTCATCTAGCAGTTTGTCAGACTGGTGGCTTGTGTATTGCTGTGATACTAAAAACGATGCCACCCATATATGAAACACCATCAGTGAGAAAAGACAGACTAGGAAGAAGGAAAGATGTGCCACTTCTGAAAGGTTAGCCACTGAAAACCTTATGAATAGCAGTGAAACATTATAAGCTACAGTGCCAGAAGATGAGCTGCTCAGCTTGGAAAACACTCAAATACTATTGAGGAAGAGCTGTCCTTAATGATGTGGATGGAGCAAAGTTTCCAGGACTTTAATTTCCTGATGGGGCAAAACTCAAAATGAGGGAAAACAGCTGCAAACTACCATTAATACTCATAAGACAGATTCCAGTATTAAAATTAAATGTGCAAAGACCTGGAGTTTAAAAACCTTAGGGGAAAACATGCTCAGCACTTCTTAAGCTGATGAAAAATTCAAGCCTTGGGTTTCAAAATTAAAGAATTATAGTTCAAACTAACCAGCTGTTCCTCGAAAAAACTCTATATAGGGTCGCTATGAGTCAGAAGTGACTCAATGGCACTTAAAAACAACAACAATAAGTTATATAGTGAATGG